AATGCTACAGTGAGGTACTTCACGGTGCCTGAGGGCTTACCACTTGCGGTACTTCCCACGATCGTAATAGGACAAACCAATATTAAATCATGTCTCCGAAGGAGATCTCAAATGCAAAAACAATAATCAGAGCCAATTATGTAGGCATTAATCGAAAGATCGTTAACCAGAATTACGATTACAATTAAATTTAAAATAGTGAAAATTTCCCCAAAACTGGTCAGATAATTGATATAGGCTAAGTAATTGTGTCGACGGTGATAAGCTCAGATATAGGTCATGTATTCTATCTCATGGTTCCAAACGGCTGATTACTGCTGAATGTGTATTCAGATGAAGGCATCTGTTGGTAATAATTCAAAATGGACGTCCCTCCGGTGACATATGTTAATGTGCAAATTTACACGGGATACAAGGACCCTAAAAAGCGATTGTTTAAAACGGTGCATTTTAGTACGCATAACCCTCTTTACCTCTTATTAAAGAAGGTCTATTGGAAAGATTGACGTTGTATGATAATTAATAACGATCAAGAAGATACGGTCACTAAAAATGAACATTATAATGGCCGAGATATTAATCCCGTATATCTACTTACATAGTTTCGCTGGTAATTCGTTTAAAAGCCTCTCAAAAGAGTTCACTACGATATTGATTAACCAAAAAAAAACTATCAATCCATAGTTTAATAAGATGATTCCGTGAAAGGTAATACTTCAATAGATGACGGAAACCAATCTTTTACGACATTACACCAGCGAACTAATATTCAACCGACACTTTTGCGTCTTCCCAAAACGAGCAACGAAAAGAAAGTAAGACACGCACGAATTTTCCTCGCCCCGCCAATCGCGCAGGTACCAATCCCGAAACCCACAATCGTCAAAACTAACAATTGAAGGTTACATCGCATTCTCCCCCGCCAGTGCCGTAACAAGGGAAATTCGTACTGACTAACTTAGAATAATTACAACGTTACACGTGTGTTAGAGAGAGAACGCATGATTTTTGCCAAAAAAATGGCGGAAGTTACCAGATTCTAGTAACTTTAATGTTATGGATTGTTCCACCTGTTTGGAGATCTCTGTATATATTTTTATAAAACATGACAGTAAGTACTATGAAGTTAGGTTAGAAAAAATTACAGCTATTCAGATTTTATTTGTCCATTTTTTTAAGTTGGCAGCATTTTTGTCCAAAAATGGCGGATGATTGCGGTACTTTCTATATTTAGTGACTTTAGGATACCCATGACATCAACGACCTCTATTAACCCATTACTAAAAAAAGTATTTCGGTAGTTATTTGTTACAGGTTGTCTAAGTCAAGATCTTTTACTAACAAGGTGGACATTATATGTACATAAAGAAAAAAAAATATTAATTGTATTTTGTAATAACAACGCACGCAGTACTTAGCACCAAAAGTCCAGAAACAACTGCAATTTTCACCCCGTACTCACGAGTAGAGCTACCGTTACTTTCATGTTAAATCGCCGGATGTTTTGCCTTTCGATATAAAATATATTACGCACATAACCAGGTGATGATAGGAAAACAGTTTCTTCGGGACCAAAAACCCTGGCATATCCCACACAAATATACGAACTAAATTAAGAAACAACAAAAGCAAAAAAAGATCCACAAACCAGTTCAGAATCGTGCATCGTTCCAGCTGGTTGTCGAGCGTCCGTCGCAAGGGCGATAAACTTTCGCTTAACTTGTTCGCCGATCATCCTGTTTTCCTCCTGGTACAAATCGAACGCCTTTGTACAAATACTAATAAAACACTGCAGGCGCCGTTCACCGGCCATTTTGTTGACTTCAAACCTTGAGATTGGTATCTGAATAAACCGGAAAACTGAATCATCAGTTACAAAAATATCATCTTCATCTGAATCATCTTCCATATAAATGATTAGTGGGGCTAGGTCTTCTCGGTCAAACTTCACTTAGCTGTGCCACCAATCTTAAAATAATTTTGCGGCTATGCTCTACAGGGCGTCTCTACATACTTGGTGTAACTGCACCAATGGCTAAATCTATACAATCTTCTCTATATATTTTCCCCATATATTTTCGAAGGGATTGAAAACGCAATGGTATGGTGCCTTCCGTAGTACCGCATTTCCATTTTCTAATGCCATCTCATCAGCAGAATACCGTTTTGAAGGTTTGTTTCTGAAATAACAATTTTTTTGTTTTGAAACTAAAGGTACCATTCCTATCTTGGGAGTCGCGACCCACTTTGGCTGCCTTGTCACGCTAAACCGCGAACTGGCTGCGCTTCCCGGCTCAGCAGCGCGACCCAGTCGCCTGGGTCGGAGAGCACCGTATACAAGACCCCGCTGCCCCCCTCCTCCTAACCATTGTGAATCAATTTAAGAATGGTATCCAATTTTTTTCATATCGCAAGCTTAAAATTTTAGAGCTCGCTTTAATAACTAGGAATCGAACATTTCTTGTGGGGTGGCCGATTCCACTTGGACTAAGCCCCCCACTGATCAGAATTACTTTTTTCAAATTAAATTTTGTACTGGAATTACGAGCTATTTAAGAGCTTTCATTTACAAGTAATTTCGATTTTTGAGCGCCACTCCTAAGTATTACTACGAATATACCATGTTGCATGGAATTTAATATAACAAACCTTGCAACAAACTCCAGAAATAATCTCCAGAAATTTCACTTTTAATGCACCATTTGGAAACTCAACATTTGTGTGCTGTATGTTCAAGAAGAATTTGGCAAGGTTTCCGTCAGTAAGCTATTGTTATAACCACCACTATCCATCATAATCAAAATTTGGTAGCAAATGGCCCCCAACCATTTAAGAGAACTGCCCTTGTTTATTTCTCCATGGGAATCTAGATCATTTGTCTTTGAAACTAAAATGAAGGATGCTTCAGTAATAAAACTTTTCATATTTCCGACATGTAAAACCACATATCTTAAATAGTTCCATTTTCAAATACCCACGTTTCTTCCAAAAAGTCACATTGGCGTCCAGTCCCAGATTGCATATTTTTTATAAACGCGAGACGAGACGAGACGAGACTTTCGAAAGTCTCGTCTCGTCTCGTTACCTCGAGACGAGACCAAGTCTGAGTCTCGTCTCGTCCTGGTTCAGTCTCGTCTCGTCTCGTCTCGTCTAGTCTCGTTTGGTCTCGCCTGGTCTCGAGACACTATCCAAATATAGTGTATGTAGGTAGAGCAATGAGCATATAGCATATAAAAGACCACGAACTACGAAGGCATGACAAGTAAATAATAGGAGTAATATAGTAGGTACGAGAGCCGGACGCATGGAACCAGTAGTGATAAGCTAACAAGATGAAATCTTTGTTACTGGATTCCTTGCAACTTGAATAACACAAAATGAGTTTTCTGCCAGCCTTTTTCTGGCCGGAATGTTATTAAAAATAGGCACTTCCGGTGAATTTTTTTCCGCAAATTAAACCAAAAACCAAACCACCTGAAATTGATAACCGTAGGTTGAGGGCGATGGGTTTTAAGGAAAAATTCTTTTCTACCGAGTTTTGTCCAGCCGGAAATAGCGGCAGAAGCGGATTAATTGAACTGTTTTTTTGTGAATTGCTATACTCATAACACAACAACTGGAGGCCTCAAGATGGCCTCCGTGTCCGTGGGCACAATTAAACAAGATATGTACGAAGAATCGCATACGATTTTCAGGGAATTTTTTGACAGCTCGTAATCGGAAACACGACTTCTAATCCGCAGTGATCCTTGAACTCATAGAAATCGATTCGCAAAAGTTTATCTTTTTTTGTTCTCGATTTAGACTATTCCGCTAAAACAGTACAAATAAATACAAACAAATTCGAGACCAAACGAGAGTCTGACGAGACTCATGCTTAGTCTCGTCTCGTCGAGACGAGACGAGACGAGACTGAACCTCGGTCTCGTCTCGAAAATTCGAGACGAGACGAGACGAGACGAGACTGAGTCTCGTCTCGGCGGCATCACTAAGTGCAATATTGGGTAACTCGATCTTTCTGATAGTGGAAACCAATATTCGCAACAACTTTTCTTAAGGAACTTTTGGACCCATTAAATGCGTCTTTCTCTTTCATTTTCAAATGGGATTGGAGCGTAAGATGATGTAAAGTGCTTATAATCTACACAAATATTAATTTAATATAATATAATCTTTGCACAGCTGACATAAACGCCTATTTACAGTCAACCATTCAACGTGTGTTTTAACTTACTGATGTCGTAGGTGGAGTTCAGGATCGCAGCTTGTGTGAAACAATCAAAATCAACGTGTTCTTGCATTGGCTCGTTTTATTAGGACTGTATAGAGATTTGCCCAATTTGGAAATTTCTGAAATATAAGTCTTCTCTGTTCGCAGGCTGATATTTAATGCATCCGCTACTTTCTGCGAAATGAAACTTACGTATACGAATTCTTATATCACTAAAGTAACTACTCACTTCTCTTACTGCTGCGAGTGGTAAAAGTGGACCACCAGTCCACTCGTCCAAAATACGAATAAGTTGCTTACTCTTTCTTGGTAAACCCGATGACCTTTTCGGTTATACAACTTTTGGCGCAGAATATCGCAGTGAAACTTACGGAAGGTATGTTTCTTTAATTGTTCGTTATGAAACTAACGGATTTATTATCGGCTAATGTACCAAAACACGATAAATTTTGTTAATACGTAGGCATTACAAAGTTCCCCAAAAACAGAATTGATGACGTGCGCGCAAACTAAAGAAAGTCCTACTATAGTACAATTTACCTATGAATAATTTCAAATGGACCATATCAAAGCATTGGGTTTTAGGCAGAGATCTGGACCTATTCGAAATCAAGGTTTCGATATTGACACTTTTATCGAAAACACATGTGTAAAGGTTCCGGTCTGGGTTTCGATATTAAATATAACGGTTTAAATCATTTATCGGCAACATTTTCGTACTTTGTGGGTGTGGGTACTACCAACTTCACGGACCTATTAATCCCATTTCTATACTTCCAAAAACTACAGCTGTATAGCAAGAAGAAGCGAGTGGAAAATGTTAGCAAGTAAGACCAGGCAGAATAATTCTTTGTACATTTATAAAGTAATGCATATTACGACTATTTGATAAATTTAGCCCCCATTCCAAACATATGTTGTGCACTGTATAATACGCATACGAATAATCTATAAAGTATTATATAATTACTCGGAAAACCTTTCTCGCCAATGCTATAATATAGATATTGACCACAACTTCCTAATAGTGATAAACCAATCAATTCAAAAATGCGACGTTTATTACAGCTGCAGTACAAATGTGAAAAGATCAATTTCTAATAACATGGCGACTCAATTTGGTTTTTCTGTACGTGAATTATTTAAATTAAATCGTGTTAGTGAAGAAGGCATTGACGCTATCAAAACATGGCAAAGTGGAACAAAAGACCCCAAGCTGTCTGATCAGCAGATAGCACTATTTTTAATCGCTTGCAATGGAAACCACGAATTCGCAATGAAGACGATCCAAGCTTATATTAAAGTGAAGACTGGCACCCCTAAGCTGTTCAAAGGGTGGAATATCAGCAACGAAAATTTACAGAAGATTTTATCGGTCGTGTAAGAAACCTTAACGTACCAGGGCTAATTTTCAAATGAGAAATTTTAGAAACATGGCCGTGCTGCCTAAGCGGTATTCAAATTCCGCAATTATCACTACACACTTTAAGGATACAGACCCCATGAATTTCGATTTTAATAGTTTCTGTCAGTTGTGTTGTATGACGGTTGAAGGTATACTTATCGACGATCACCCACCGGATGACGTAATACTGATAATAGACTTAAAGGGGGTGCGGTACTTTTTCTTCTAGAGCCGATTAATTGTGATCATGTCTCAGGTAACAGCCATTCATCTAATGGGAATCGAAATGAAGCTACTCGGTGCTTTTTTGGAATACGGACAGGATTGCATGCCCTTGCGAATCCAAACCATACACGTATTAAATGCCAATTACCTTACGTATGCTGGTTACAAGATGTTTCAGTTGTTTGCTACTTCGGATGAACCGTCAAAGGTTTGTCTACTGGAGTTTGTGGTAATGGCGTGGAGAGGAAATTGAACGTTTTAGGTGCAGTTTTATCAAGATGGAGAGAGTTTGGACAAGTTCCACGAGGCACACGTGCCAAAAAAATACTTACCGCGAGATTACGGCGGAGATTTAGAGTCTTCGGGCGAATATCACGAACAAAACGTTCAAAAATTGTCACGAATGCAGTATCACCTTGACGCTCTTGACCAACAATTTTTTCCATCAGGCACGTATTAGCGTAATTGTGATTCTATTTTTACTGTACGGTCATTACCGTTCGTTTTTCAAATAAACCATTGAAAACTGTTGAGTATCTCGTTATCTAAACCAAATGAAATCGCAACATTACACAAAGTACACCGTCTAATAGTAAGCTGCCAAAATTGATGTGGTGTGCTCTTCTGCTATCGACAAGGTGTTAAATACTTTCGGCACCGGTACATACTGGTTCATTGTCTTCTCAGCACAATGTTTGAAGGTATTCCCAATTGAGCATCAAGCTGCATGTATCATAAGACACAAATCCGGGATATTTATACCTCCTGATGGCATATTGGAGTCAATGTTTTTTGCGGAAGGAAGTGTCCTACTTTCCCACTTGTAAGACGCGGTAGGTAATTTTTCAAACGAATGTGTATTTTTCAAAATAAATCGAGGATCCAAAATGTGGCGCCACGATCAATAACAATAACACAAAATACACAATAGCTATTTATGTAACAAGTACATAATCTATGACTTTATTGGACGAGTCGAATTTATTGGCAGAGCGCGCTTGCGCGCGAGGCCAATAAAAAAGACGAGATAATAAAGTCTGATTATGTACGAGTAACATACTTAGCTTTATGTTCGACTCGGAAAATGTAGTTCATGTATGTATTGAAAATTTGCTGAAACTTGGTATAGATTTCACTATTTAATAACCAGAAATAACATAGTGTGCCTTTTGTGTTGTCATAGATACGTGTTGTTTGGAAAAAAATCTGTTGATGTGTAGTGTCAATTTTGTTGGGTATTAACTAATTCTCTGTGCCCTAATTATGAATCCAGAAGAAATTGATGGGTCCAACAGTATACAACAATTATTAGCCTGCAATGCCAGAGAGATGCTTTTACCAAGCAAATCAAAAACTGTATACGAGGCGGCATACAGGGAATACAGAAGGTGGTGCTTGGGGAAGAAAATCAATTGCACCAATTATTGAAATGTATAATATAGATATGTGTTCTTAAAGTTATAACATTCTGTTCCATGTACTTCTTCTTTAAAACAGACCGTAATTTTAAAATGCATTTTCCAAAGAAATTGACAGTGACAGGAGTCCAAATTACTTTATCATTATGGACTAGTCCAATAAAGTAGCAGATTATGGACGCTAAACAGTGTCATAACTCAGCGTATTATGATCGAGTCGAACATAAAATATATTTATAATACAAATTGGTGTGTGTAATTTAAGCTTACGTCGTCGCGCCCCTGAACGGTGATCCAAAAAGTTCTAAAACAAGATCTACTCAAATTTTTGAAAAAGCGGTACGTAACGTTTCAAATTTTAGCTCATCCTCTTTACCTTGATAGAATATTGCAGATTTTATCACCGAGTCTTAGCGAAGTATTCAGTTTTGTTCCATAAAATAAAGAAGAATTGATTACTTGCACATAAACAATTGGTCTGTAACCAAAATCAAGAAGTATTTTTATTTATATCAAAGTGAAGTGAAATGAATTATCAGTTACAGCGCATGGTCGCCTTGTTTCCAATAAGTATGCACTTCGGAGTGGGTTGTGTAACTTGTGTGGCTAGATACTGTTAAATTTAAGGAAAAATCGACTTTTAATACAACGTATATGTAAAGACATTTTTAGGGGTAAAGGTCAGGGTAAAGCGGCGTAAGGTCTGGAAGAAGCAGGCATGGAAATCTCACAGTAACCTAGAGAGAGACAGTTTGGGCAGCACTGGTCTTTGTAACGTTATGACGTTAATCGTAAGATGTCGTTTGGGTTTAAATTATACCTATACTTGAAATTTAGTTTTTGCTATCAACAATTCGAAAACGCATTCGTCTTCGTACGCTTGGTGCGGATAAAGATTTGCAATTTATTTAATTGCGCTTTAGAAAATTTTATTCAAATCGAATTGTATTGAAAATTCCCATTGAGGATAATTTTTTTAAAAAAAGGTCATAGAACCGTAAGTTTTTCAATTTTTTTATTTCAAATTTGTAATATTTCACAACATTTTAGTTTTTTTCGTACCGGATTTGGGCCCCTGAAACAGAAAAAGGGATAATTAGTTTCTGGAAAAAAAGAACCAGCTTCCGTATTTCAAAAATTCAAAAGTGGTTTGCATCAAATAGAAAAAACAACTTACCAGCTTCAGCAATTTTCTTCAGGAGTATTCGTCGATAGCAAAATCATTATCTATCTGTCAAAATTTAATTGAGTCTACAGACGACAGCAAGAAAAAGAAATCAAACACAAGGGCAGCTACAATTTCACCATTCATTCATCATTTATTTCATTTAAAATCTTCCATACATATTGTTCATATTGATACATACTTTAGTTGAGAAGTACCTACCTGTTTTTTTGTCAATAGTGTAAAATACTTATAATTATTTCAACGACGGCATTCATATTTTGTTCCGATAGCGCTATCCCTTCTTTATTTAATTTTTTATTCGCCGTTTAATTTTTTAATTGTTGTGTTCCTTTCATTAAGAAAAAAAAACCTAATTTGTAAAGGGTACTTGATACTTTGTTTGCATTAAATATAAAAAAAATTTCATTTTGTTTTTATTGATCGTTATTGGCGTGATATATATCTTGTCCACCACGTGCCCAAATAAAAACTCTTCAGCGCTTAGCGATACCTGGCTAGCCGTCTGTCAACAGAGGACTGCATATGGCTAATGGAGAGCTTGGTCGTTAGTCAGCGAATTCTAGGTACCAAGTTTCAATTAGCCTGCTGGCAGTAAGAGCACTAGTGACCGTTTAAAAGCCCATTAGTTGTGGGTCCGACTTAAATATAAAAACCATTCCAGCTGTAACGGGGGAGTCGCTACCTCTAACCACCACCGATCAAGGTTTGTCCGACATCGAGAGGACTCTATTGGCCTCTGACGAAGACACCAGTCTAGACAGTGTTAGCATCCCTCCCTCTTAAGGGACACTTGAGGACTCCAAAGCTTTGAGTAACAAAGCCTTAATAGCCTCATGGGGGACGCGAATTAAACAAGCCTGTGGAAGCGACCACAAAAATAGAGCTTTGTGGAGTCGCTTGCAAGCGTATAAATCGATTGGCGACGGTTTGACATCACTGTCTCTTTTCGTTCTCGAGTTAGATGAGGAACAGATGGACAAAACAATTACGTCTTCATGCCTCACTTTCAGAGAGAGGTGGAAGAGTTTTAAGATGGTTACGCAACCTTAACGCGAAGACAGCAAAAAATCCACCGCAATGTGATCGACAACACCACCGCAACAGTAGTCTTCACCGCCTACAATACGTCGCCCAGATATTTAGACGAGAATCCGCGAGTGGCTTCCAGCTTGGTAAGTTCCACTACTGGTACAAGATTCCACATTCGGTCAATTTTCGTTCATCTATTTACCGAGTGAAATACATTTTTTGGCAATCTTAATATGTAAACAAACACTTTGGAAAAGGGTTGCAGAATAACGAACTCCTCCTTAATTAAGTCAAGACTACCCTTACTTCAAGGAGAAAGCGCGTGCGCGTTCTATTACATCAATATACCTACCCCACGATCAGCTGTTACGCTGCATCCTTCTCTTTTACACGGGGCAATACACATGTTTCTCTCTTGCGCTCTCCTTAGAATTGCAACAACCGTACTGTTCTGCGTGAAAGAAAAGGACGCAGCGTAACAATTGACCGTGGTGCACGTATCGATGTAAGAGAGTGAGCATGCGCTCTTTCCATATAATAGAAGCAGACAGAAATATGACTCACATTAATTTGAATTAAGGGTAGCCTTAACTTAACTTTTTTAGCCAACCCATTTCCAATGTGTTTGTTTATATATTAAGATTACCAAAAAATGTATTTCACTCGGTAAACAGATCGAGCTGGGCCCTCAAAGCCCAAAGAAGCCCCTTGTGGAACACTCAGGGCGAAACCAGCAAAGTGATTTCAATGGAAGTCGGGGAAAGCTCAACTGAACCAACCAGATAAGCAAGCCCTGATCGTTTCTCAACCAAAGCCAATGGAAATGTGCCTGCTCAAGCGAAAGACATTGGTAGGCTCAGGCCCCGTCCCTCCTCACTTAAGCCACCGTCCCGCTAGACGCAAGGGGGATAAAACATAACCAATACAAGACGAAAGCGGTCACCTTCGCACTACAACACTACAAGGTTCACCAAAGATAATTTAGAAGTGTCTCTCATACAGGAATCATGGGTAAGTAACTCTCTATCAAGGGTTATCTTAACTCCGCAGGGACTCTGATTTATGTAAGGGGCACCAATTTCTCCAGAGCAGCGGTTAGCGTAATCTCGTAACTAACAGGCTTTCCTCTTTCAGAGTGCATAACAAAAGACCTGTTGTGGTCGAACCCAATAAGCACCGGCGTTGCCAAAATAGAGCATACGTTTCGGGGGAGAGAGAGGCAGAAATTCCTCCGGAAACTGAGCAGATACTGCAAGGTGAAGGGGCTACATCTTCTTATGTGACGCCAACTTCTCCACTGGGGCAATACTGACACAGACCGTACAGATGAGTACCTTTTAGATTTTCTATTCTCAGAAGAAGTAGAGATGCTCAATCAAAGCAATGAGCCAATGTTTGTGACCAACAACAGGAAGGAAGTACTGGATATTACCTTTTCCTCTTCCGTTCTGCTGGTAGAATAGTGGGATGGAGGATCTCCGATGAGCCTTCTCTCTCAGACCACAGACAAACCTGTTTTAGTATAAAGGTAGAGAAACAAACCGAACATTCATGTCGAGATCCTCGTATAACAGATTGGATGCTGTACGAGAAGTCAATGAAAAGCAGTACCGCAGGATTCTGCAGTAGGGTGGTGGATCAAGGTGACCTAGAACGACTTCCCACACTATTCAGTGATGCCCTTCTCTCCTTTGAGGAGAGTTGTCCGGTGAAGCGGGTTAAAATAAATAGAAACACTCCTTGGTGGCAACAATGAGCTAGGAACGCTCTGGAAAGCCACCAGAAAAGATTTTACCAAAACCAGGTGCACTGGGTGCTGGGATGAGTATAGAGCGGCCCTCACTAAGTATAGTAAGGTGATACGGAAGACAAAAAGAGCGCCTTAGGAAAGATTC